AGTCCACGTCACGTGTCAAGTCCACGTCACGACGTCTCAAGTCCACGTCACGACGTCTCAAGTCCACGTCACGACGTCTCAAGTCCTCGTCACGACGTCTCAAGTCCACGTCACGACGTGTCAAGTCCACGTCACGACGTCTCAAGTCCTCGTCACGACGTCTCAAGTCCTCGTCACGACGCCTCAAGTCCACGTCGCGACGTCTCAAGTCCACGTCACGACGTCATTTACTAATGGTAACAATAATGTGATGGCCATTAGCGCTTATAATCAGGCGACCATTAAAGTAATTTTTATAATTACATTAAAAATTACATCATAATTAACAGCAATAACAATAACAGCAATAACAGCAATAACAGCAATAACAGCAATAACAGCAATAACAGCAATAACAGCAATAACAGCAATAACAGCAATAACAGCAATAGCAGCAATAACAGCAATAACAACAATAACAACAATAACGGCAATAACAGCAATAGCAGCAATAACAACAATAACAACAAGAACTACACTAACAGCAATAACATCAGCCCATTATTAACAATAACAACAATAACAACAATAGCAGCAATAACAACAATAGCAGCAGCGTCTCTCCTAAGCCGGCGCTGCGCGCAAAAAAGACTCGCTGCTTAATTGAAGCAACGCGGCGAGATATGAAGACTGCATTAAGACCTGACGTAAGACTTAAGACCAGACTTATAAGTCGTAAGACCAGACTTATGAGTCCTAAGACCAGATTTATGAGTCCTAAGACCAGACTTATGAGTCGTAAGACCAGACTTATGAGTCGTAAGACCAGACTTGTGAGTCGTAAGATTAGNAATTAGTGCTCAAATATTGTAAGTATTACAATAGAACAATAGGAAGGAACATAACTGTCTGTTCCTATAAACAGGAAAAGTTATTATTTTTTTAGCGCATTTTCTCATGCATGGAAAGAAAGGCGCTGTTGTGCTCGTCGTGCCCGTCCGTCCGTCCATCCGTGACTTCACATTTTCGTCGATTTTAAGAATACTTCAAAACGTGTCGTGATTCATAAAATGCGCTCTCTGTCACTCACTGCAGCTGTCTCTTATACACATCTAGATGTGTATAAGAGACAGGCCTAACGCCCCCCCCCACCCCTCCCCCCTCACGTCACGCGATGACTCATCAATACATCATTACTTCATCACCGTAATGATGTGATGACGCCGTAATGATGCCAGCATTAGTTAATGGTACAACCATTACTTAATGGTGCCATCATTACGGGACAAAACGAGGCTGACGGCAGAAGTCATTTTCATAGTAACATTTTCTTAATTTGACTTCGATTATATTGTTTAATATGCATTAAATTTTCATTAATTTTTATATTATCGTAATCATTCTTTATTGTTATTGTTGTTATATCAATTATAATATTAACTATAGTTCTATTATTTTGTTAATATTCTTTATATTTTCATTTTTATAATATCGTAATTTTTACTATTATGTTTGCTATATTACATTTATTATTGTATATAGATGTTATAATTGACTATAATCATTATACTCTTAACGCTCAAATTATAATCACGACTGCATAGTTAAATTTTCACTTTAACTGAAATGCAAAAAATACCGATAAATTTTAAATTTCTGGATGAAGTTCCGGTGAGAATTTCGGAATTTCTAAGTAAATTTCCGAAAATTTCCAAATAAATTGTGACCGAAATTCTTCCCCAGATGGGATTACAGGGGAATTCTCATTTAATTTCAGTAATTTTTATTTTCATTTTCAAGAAAAATTTGAGTTTTTAGATACCGTTAGAAATGAAAGTAATAACTAGACGATTTTAAACACAATTTTCATCCGCAAATAATTTTTTTTCCTCTTTTTTAAATAATGCATCGGCACATCATGTCGTGCTACACATCATGTCGTGCTACACATCATGTCGTGCTACACATCATGTCGTGCTACGCATCATGTCGTGCTACACATCATGTCATGCTACACATCATGTCGTGCTACGCATAATCATGCATGGCATTTGCGTGCCTGGCTTCGTACGCAAATATTCAAGGCAGGCTCGTGCGTAGGGCATTACGCATGCGCTAGAAATTGCGTATCGTGAAGGGCACGCATGAAAAACGCGTATCTCGTGCGTACGTTTGGGAGAAATTATTATCGTACGTAATATAAAAAATTATAGATAGAAATGATAAATATAAATAATTTGAATTTACATTACATTGAATCTACATTTATTATTCATCTACATTAAATAGTAAAGCGAAAGTTCACCGAGAATTTAAAAGCAAACTTTTATTTTTTTATAAATTTGTAAATTTATTTTACTACTAAATTAATTTTAATTTAGTACAACGTTAAAAAATTACTTCCTCACGAGTATTCCAAATAGTGGGACAGTTATGAACGTACATATTTTTCAATTTCTTAATTAAAAACTATTTTAATATTACGTACAAAATAGGCGTAAAGAATCATGAGGTTATGGTGTGAAAAATTACAATACACACAAATAAATGAGTGAGGCATATTGTACCGATTGTGTGGCATGTTTTGCTCTTGTATGGGTCATCCTGACTCAGTTGGCCCGGCAAAAGTGCGTATCAGTGCTACGGCCGCTCTCTGCTTGCTAGGTAGGGATAAAAAATGTGTCACTAGTGTGACAAAATAGCCCATTTAATTTTCTGTGTGTAGTGCTAGAATTTATAAGTTTGATGCTAACCCTAACTTAACCCTACCAGGACTAGAGTGTGTCACTACACTAACTTGTCACTACCAGGACTAGAGTGTGTCACTACACTAACTTAACCCTACCAGGACTAGAGTGTGTCACTACACTAACTTGTCACTACCAGGACTAGAGAGTGTCACTACACTAACTTAACCCTACCAGGACTAGAGTGTGTCACTACACTAACTTGTCACTACCAGGGCTAGAGTGTGTCACTACACTAACTTAACCCTACCAGGACTAGAGTGTGTCACTACACTAACTT